GTGTGTGTGTGTGTGTGTGTGTGTGTGTGTGTGTGTGTGTGTGTGTGTATGCCATTTATAAAGGTGACTTATAGGCAGGCTAGTCCAACAATGGCTGTCTCTGTATTTGACAGTACATGAGGCTGGGCATTTCGGCTGGTCTTCAGGCTATGTTGAAATCCTGAATAAATATGTTTTAATGCCTCAGCAGCAGGATAGAAGGACTCATCGGCAAGAGGGCAAGCAGGCAAAAAGCAAAAGCTTTCTTCTTCCTTTATATGGACTGACCAAATTTGATTGGGTCTCCCCACTTCAAATTATCCAAGAGAAAGAATAAGTCCCTCACCAGTTGCCCAGCTGCTTGGGTTTTAGTTGATGTCAGATGTGGTCAAGTTGACAAACATGGCTGGCCATCACAGCTATGTAGAAAGATCCTGTTTCAAAAAACAAACACTCTCCCTCAGAGACATTATTATTATTATTATTAGTCCCTCCTTCCTTTAGGTCTCATAAAAGAAGCCCCAAGCAGTAACTTGGGGTCTTTTGAGTATTATTTCAAAAATGCTAAGTGAATTCAGGAAAAAAATTGGAAAATTCTGGTTAAAATTGGAGAATTTAATTTGTTATATTAAATTAATGCTATATGTGCAATATTATGTTTCTACAAGTGTGAAGGAACTGGAGTTCAAATCTCCAGGCTTTTTACTCTACGGTATCAGGTTTCCAATCTAACACTTCCTGACTGGCCATGCATATTTTATGCAGTACCCCCAACAGGGTTTCTCTGTGTAACAGTTCTGACTGTCCTGGAACTCGATTTGTAGACCAGGCTGACCTCGAACTCACTGAGATCTTCTAGCATTTGCCTCCCAAGTTCTGGGATTAAAGGCGTGCACCACCACTACCAGGCTTTTATTTAGATTTAAAAGAAATAAAATAAAACCTGGGGGAGGGGATGGGAGAGGGAAGGGAGGGGAAATTGCGGGCAGGATGTAAAAGAAATGAAAAAAATTAAAAAGTCATCTCATATTTTTCTTGTACACACACACACACACACACACACACACACACACACACACACCCCTTTGGTTTTTCGAGACAGGATTTCTCTGTGTAGCTTTGGAGCCTGTCCCGAAACTCACTTTGTAGACCAGGCTGGCCTCGAACTCACAGAGATCCACCTGGCTCTGCATCCCGAGTGCTGGGATTAAAGGCATGCGCTACCACTGCCCAGCTACATACACTCGTATAATGCCCTTTACAGTTGAATTCTTTCTTCCTTTTCTTTCTTTCTTTCTTTCTTTCTTTCTTTCTTTCTTTCTTTCTTTCTTTCTTTCTTTCTTTCTTTCT